TTTAAAGTCAGGCATTTGGCATATTTCATCTGTTTTGGCAAACTCCTATAAAAAGAGCTTTTGTAAAAACGGTCCAAAAAAAAAAAAGACTAAAACCACTAGGGTTAAAAATTGTCTTTAGTCTTGTGCATTCCATAAAAACGTGGAACACGTTTAAAATGGCAGGTTTAAAATTGTTAAAAATGGCAGGAATAGCGTTGAGTATGAAACCTGGAACTCAACGCTATTTCTGACATTTTTAATTGAAAATGCTTCCTGGATGGGAAGAGAAACGTCTTCAAACTTGGAAACAAAGTCCAGTGGTTTGTTTTTAATTTCCTTTTTTTTTTTTTTTTAGAACTTATGAAGTATAATTTGTTTGCCAAATATTTGTCTTTACTTAAGTTCTTTATTGTAGTTATTAACCCATTTGGGGAACTGTTGTCATGTTTATCCACCAACTGCCACTACAAGTTTAATATCTCAAGTTACATATGATATTTGACTTGTAAATGTGAAACCTAGTTTATTTCTTTTCACTAGCTTTATTTGCAATGTGATGTCTATGGCAAGTAGTTAAAGGAAAATGTAAAAACCTTTCTGAAACAGTAACTTTCTGAATGTTCACTGTCCCAATAATGCTTTGGTCTCCTATCAGGTGAAGGAAGCACATTTTAAAATGATTCATCAGGTTTATCCAACAGACCACTTTCTCTAACAGCCTCCCATCTTTTATTGGAGTATATTTGTTTTTTGGACTGTCTTAAACTCTTATTTCAATTATATTGTGGCTCCAATCATTTATCAATGGATTGCTGATGGTCAGAAAAAAGTGAAGCCACTGGCCACCATATTGGTACTCCCCACTCCCACAGAGATGCGCAATAAAAATGCCTACCTGTGTAGCATTTGATTGCAAAAGCAAGCAGTTCACTGGTTGTGAGAAGTCCATTCACAGGTTTTTTCCCAGTCAGTGGATGAACTAAGAAAATCCACATATATATGCCGATGCATCCTATAGTATAGTATGTAGCCTAACATTAGTCTGGCTATTTCAGACTGACTTAAAGACATTGACTGAGTTAGCCATCGACATTGTGTCTAATGTTAGTGAGGTTTTCAGAACACAACTGCAGGGGTGAGGAGGCAGAGTTGAGTTCTTGAAGATTTCATTGCATAACTGAGGCAGAAAATCTAAAAACCAAGGTACAAAATACATGAAAACAAAAACCAGACAACTTTATGGGGAAAAACTCACGTAGGGAGTCAGGAAAAGAAGAGGAACCAGCACTGAGGACCTGCACAGGGAGAGTATATTGGAGGCTGATTGGAGACTGAACAAAGACATGACTAATGAGCTGATTGGGAGAAGGTTTGAACAGCGACTTCTAGAAAGGAGCTATGGAAAAGGAGACCAACACAAGAGGGCAAACAAGGGCAACCAAGAAAAACCTCAGAACTCAAATATATCCAGAAAACACAACAAAATAGGAATTACACCAGTAAAACTAGAAAACAAAGAAAAACATGAATCAAAGTGAAACTGAAAAGTCAAAAGAAAACTTAAAAGAACCAAGACCGTGACAGTTAAATAATAGAAAGTAGAGTAAATAGAAAGTATTTCACTGCTAAATGTCAACATAATAATTATTTAGTGGATCATGCTGTTGTTTTTGTAGTGTTTGTTGTAGTTCTCATTTGATAAACTCATGTGCTGAAATATATTGCATGTTGTTCATCCATCCCTCCATTTTTCA